CCCTTTTTTTTTTTTTTTTTTTTTTTTTTTTTTTTTTTTTTTTTTTTTTTCCAAAAAAAATTTTTTTTTTTTTTTTTTTTTTTTTTTTTTTTTTTTTTTTTTTTTTTTTTTTTTTGGGGGGGGGGGGGTTTTTTTTTTTTTGGGGGGGTTTTTTTTTTTTTTTTTTTTTTTTTTTTTTTTTTTTTTTTTTTTTGGGGGGGGGGGGGGGGGGGGGGGGGGGGGGGGGGGGGGAAAAAAAAAAAAAAAAAAAAAATTTTTTTTTTTTTTTTTTTTTTCCCCCTTTTTTTTTAAAAAAACCCCTTTTTTTTTTTTTTTTTTTTTTTGGGGGAAAACCCCCCTTTTTTTTTTTTTTTTTTTTTTTTTTTTTTTTTTTTTTTTCCTACGATATATTTGTTAGACGGCATTGCTCTAAACTTTACTCTCCAAAAATATAGCCACGAAACCCATACAAAGACTTTGCTAGATCAAATACAAAGAGCAACGTGTTGTTTGCTACATTTGGTACACACCTAGATCATAAACATGAAACAAATGGTTGCATGATGTGTGGCTACATCGGGTGTGCATTATATATTATAGGCTCTGTTGATTCATGTACAAATAGTACATGTGCTACATCCGGTAGGCCAACATGGCTTCGGCTAGATCAAATGATGATGTGTATGTGTGCTACATCAGGCATAAAAACCAATAGTGCAACCACGACATAACATGCATTCACAAAGTTTTACATGCCTTCAGTTATTTGTTTAAAGTACTAGCTTTTTTTTCGTCGTGAAGGGGTTAGCATGATACCACGGGACTGTTTTTAAGCAATGAACAATAAGGGCACCGTTTTGGTCACCACATTTTCGGTGCTGCTTTTACATACACTTTGTGGTGAATACTGGCACCTTCTTTCAGATACTTTGTATTCAGTATCATTGCGGCCCCCCCCCCCCCCCCCCCCCCCCACCCCTAACCCCTTCTCCCCGCCAGATAAAAAAAAAAGCTATGAATGTCACCACCGACAAACGGAAATGAAACAACAGCTGGGACAGAATAGTTTCATATTGTCACTAAATGAAACCAGAAATTTATTTATTATTTGAAATATCACGTACGTGAATACAAGAAGTACATTGTGCCAGCTACTGAATAAGTTAATTTTTGTCTGGTACATACAGGCAACATCTCGGGTGAAAAGAGAGGAGGGTTCGAAGTGAGGCTTATTCCCCCACTCTTTAAAATAAAATTGTTTGCTACAGACACTTTCAGAAAATGAAGTATCAACCATTATCTTCTTCTTCTTCTTCGCGTTCACCAGCTGTAAACTCTGGCGGAAGGTTCTGGTTGCTCGTCCACTAATGAACTGCAGTCCTGTTTCAGAACCTGAATGTTGCGTGTGCATCAGTTTTACAGATCTCATTCTCTTGAATACAGACTGTTGGTTCCTTGCCTCTCCGGCAGATGCACTCCGACTTCAAAGGAAGCTCCCCAATTAGTAGACTCTTACGACACGCTTATGGGGAGGCAGTGGATCTATTCTTGTTTTCCCCACAATGGGGCCCCGGAACCCACACGGGGGTATCAACCATTATAAGATAGAGAAGACAGCGTTAGACTGGACATATTCCGACAACAGACGAATCCAGAATCACAAAATTGGCACTGCAGTGGGAAACAGATAGATTTGGGAAACTGGTTACTAGAATAGGCCGTGGTGGAAAAGAAACCCTAATGCGAACGTTAATGAAAGAAGCCAAAGTGCTTCATCAGATCCTCTCCAGGATTTCGAAGTGATGGCACGGGATAGAACTGCACGGAGAAACAGATTGCCAGCCCTATGTGACATCTAAGGACACAACGGGACAATGATGATGATGATGACACATCGGCAACAGCTGATGACACTTGGTGCGATCTTTGGGACACATAGAGATTACAAAGTTAATGTCCCCTAAAACTTGATGTTTACCGTTCTGTGTCACTTCCGGGGCACTAATTTAGAGAGGGAAAACAATTTGACCAGCTGCCGGCTAACAAGCATGTCGTAAATGGCAACTAATCAGGAGTCTGCTGAAAAACAAATATACTGTGTAGATAGGCGCAGACATCGCTGTTTAGTTGATAAATCCCACACAACACGCTAACTGCCCTTTTCAGGGGAGAACGTAGAAGAAGGACTGTTTAGTTTAAAGTTATACAAACAATCACATTTCTGTCTTTCTTCCCCTCCACTGTCTCTCTCCTCTCTCTCTCTCTTTCCTCCTCTCTTACATCTAGTCACCATAACATTAGAACAAGTGAATGATCCATCGCCCTGCACACTCAAGCTCTATGGCGTGTTGACTGCACGACTATCATTAGCACATTCAGTGTTCAGTCAAAGGAAACCTGCAGGCAGGAGCTGTAGTAGGCTCCTGTGTTGGTATGTAAAGTCAGATGCCCTTCTTTGCTAAGTAAAGACAGGTGCCCTTTGTTGGTATGTAAAGTCAGGTGCCCTTCTTTGCTAAGTAAAAACGGGTGCCCTTTGTTGGTATGAAGTGACAGATGTTGTTGTCTGTAGTCATCTAGCTGTGTCACGTGATACAACAACCAACCGAATAAAATTGTAGTCAATGGGCAGTACCTGATGACTTAGTTAATTGACCGATTATCCTTACTGCACATCGGACAAGTCTAAAAGGCGCAGAAACCATCTTGAGTTTATCCCTTAGCTTGTGATGACTTATAACACCCGAAAAGTGTTGGTTTACTATTCTTCTTTGGCTATCTGTAAAGGATTCACATCTGACAATGTCTCTTTAAATTTGAAGGTCTTGTATTCTTTTTTATGTTGCCGGTTCACTGTCGTTTTCTGGATCACCTACTTGTTCTGCTTTCTTCCGAGACATAGGAAAAATCGGTGATGACTTGTAGTCATGTAGCTGTATTAGGCGCTTTGCGTAAGCAGGTAACTATTTTCTAGTGATACCTGTAGCCAAGGAATGTATCAGGGTGTCCTGTAGTCATTTAGGTGTAACAGGTGATATATGTAGGCACTCAACATACCTGGTTGTTAGCTGGAAATTTTACACGACAAATACGAATGATCAGTTGTATCAAGAGCTATATGCAATCAGGCAATTCTGTTATAGTGACGCCTGTAAACAGAATGTTCAGTCTTGGGCGTTGAGCTAGAAAATGACATCTTAGCACTCGAGACATTCCAAAAAGTGCTCCTTCGTCGTCTTCAGCAGCCAGCTAAGAGTTCGTGTTCCTATGAAGCCAGTTACAGCTTGATTGTATGCCGTACTTGTCTTTTCCCTGAGTTTAGAGGATAAATCAGATGCCCTGGTCACTGCTAGCAGTACTCCTCTCTCCATACCACATTATCTATTCGTGCTGCAGCGTTGTTCAAATGCTCCCAGAGGGCCTTCACCACATCTGTCTTGTCATGCACGAATTCAGCACCCATTGGTGCAGAACCATCCAATCTATCTGACTGTTCCTTTCCCGACACACCGGCTCATCTGGCTCAACTCTGAAGCGATGCTTGCCACTCTGCATGCAGCATGAATGTCTCCACTTTTGTTAACCATGCTTTGTGAATAGGTTACAATCACGACAAGCTTGTGCAGCTGGTTCGCAAGTCAAAGACAAGCTGCGAGACAGTGCACGTATCGTGGCGTAAGGTAGTCAATCGGTGTAGAGCTATGCCTTATAAGCATATTTGTAGGTACCAGGATGTATCGGACGCTCTATGTCTGAAGTCAGCAGTCAGTCAACCATGACATCCACGCAGTAACGTTTGTATCTTACGTGATCTGTTGAAGTCAACAGTCAGTCAACCATGACATCCATGCAGGAACGCTTGTGTCTAACATGATCTGTTGAAGTCAACAGTCAGTCAACCATGACATCCATGCAGGAACGCTCGCATCTAAGGTGATCTGTTGACAGTTTATGTGTATAAGACGATTCCAATAAGTATGGAATTGAATGTGATGATACTCTCGTGTTCTGTAAACGAACAGTTCTATCAGATGATAGGCGTAGGCAAGCTATGGTATCTGACTTAATAGGTCGAATATCTGACTAGATGCAAATAGGCACTAGTATTTCTCACCATCTTTAGACGGTTGACTATGTGTAGAAAGTTCTGTTGGGTATTTTGAGAGGTAAATCTCGGGAAAGCAAAGGGCACGCTTTATCTGTAACAAGTTCTCACAGGGTACTGACTGCGTCACCCCAAGCTTTGCCCAAATGACACTGACTGTACCCATATCTCACTAAATTATACAATCATGTCTTCTTGTGTTCACAATTTTCGATGACGTAATTAGAAGTGCTGCTTTGTTAAGATTTGCAAATTTTGGGAGTCCATTTACCTGCGATATTTCTGGTGATGCTGTCTTGATGGTCAGTAAGTTCTTTAATCAAGTAATCACGTTTCCAAATGTTCAGTAAGTGCAATTATCCGATTTGTCATTAGACAGTAGTGTACATATATAAATATTAGAAAAGATTAACATGGTCGTATGCAGTATTCATATATCGTTTTATTTGCTTCAAAATATTATTTTTAATACACTTAATTTGTTTCTTTCGGACAAAAGCCTCAAATTCTTTAATGTACACTTTATTATTTCGAAAGAGGCTTTAGCGTCTTTAAGGTACAGTTTACTGTTTCGGACGAAACCTCACAATTTCCAAGTACAGTTTATTGTTTCCGAAAAAAAAAGCTTCCAAGTTTTTACATGTACAATTAATTGCTTTCGAACAAAAGCCTCCAAGTTTTTACTGTACAGTTTATTGTTTCGGACAAAGTCTTCGAAGTTTTTAATGTACAGTTAATTGTTTCGGACATAAGCCTCCAAGTTTTCATCGTACAGTTTTTTGTTTCGGACAAAAGCCTCACGTTTTTATTGTACAATTTATTGTTTCCTCGCAACACAAAATCAAAGAATGAGGTGAACGATGCTTCAAATCATGGCAAACATTGAGATGTGAAAGGGGGCGTGTCCACAGTGAGGGGTTTATGTGAGTAACGAATGCTGGTGGGGCAGCCCGCTCTGTGCATACCAAGAGGAGTAATGAGACATGTAGGCATTGTTGATCTGGTGTTGGGCGTGGTGCTGGTTGTGAGAGTGGGCGTGTCCAGAACTGGAGGCGGAGCCCAGGTCTGACCAGGACAGCAGGCTGCCCTGCTGGCTCATCGGCGACGACGCCGGCAGCATGGGGGTCGGGGTGCCCTGTGGGTGAGGGTGCTGGAGTCCGTGCTGGGGTGTGGGCGACCCCTGGGATCCAGGGTGCATGTCCGACCCTTGGGGTCCATCGTCCAAGAAGGATGCCTGCTGCTGCTTGACCCCCATGGACCCTTGCTGCTGCAACGATGGGGATGCTGCCGATCCTTGATGCGAAGGAGGCTGAGAACACTGTGGCTGAATGGGCGGGGTTCCACCCTGCTTCATGATTTTCTTGTACTTGGAACGTCGGTTCTGGAACCAGATCTTCAC